GCCTGTTCTCATTGAGTAAAACAGCTCCAGCTACACAGACCACAGGATTCAGCTTTGGAACAGCAGTTGCATCAACTCCTGCCCCAGTAAGAACTGGATTTTCTTCAGGGAAAGAGCAATACAGTTTCTGATTCTTTTAGTGGTTACAAAAGTAATTAATTGTCTCTCAAAGACAAACTTTAAATTTAGACCATGGATTGAGTAAAGAAATGGTGTGGTATTTCTAAGTCAACTATTTGCAATTATGCTACTCATTCCCAAGACAGTTTAATAAATTGAAGCCATCTCAGATTTGAGGCACAAGACATATTGAATTTTAATTTGTGGTCTCCCTTCATTTTTTGTGAGCCATAGGAAGAGTACTCACTGAGTTTCAAACATATATCATCTTGAAATTAGGCTGTTTGATTAATAAGTGTCTCTCTCTATAGAGATCTTTACCGTAATAACCTCGATTATACAGTTTTCCCTCTTGCATCTCAGGATTTTAAAGGAGATGGAAACTTGTTTAATGCTTTTGTAGGTAAATCCATTTGGATCCATGTCTTTTAGTGTAGCATCTGACAGCCTCATGAAAGCTAGGGTATCCCCTCTGGAATTCTCCCCATCCTGTTAAAGTTATCTAATAACTTACAATTGAGTGCCAAGTAATCTTTCTTAGGAGGTGTAATTTAAATATTGAAGCATTTTGTCATGGGTCACAAAATACATTTAAAAATTTCTAGAAAGTCTATTAAAGGAATGCTTCTTGTTCGACTGTGTGATTCCATGTCTAAAACAAAAACTTACATTGTTTAATAAACTCTGCTGGACTGGTAGAAAGAGGAAGTATAAGTCCTTTTGTCTCTACTGAAAACATTTTCTGAACTACTCCTAGTGAATCAAATTAGGTAACCTTTATCGATGAATGAGAAATATGGAGCTGTGTACATGTATTTCTATATTAACATCTGGTTATCTTTCTTTCCATATTGAGATGAAATAACCTATAGAACAAAATCTTGTAAACCGTTCATATGTAAAACTTAATTTTACAGAAGCTATGTTATCTAGCTGCCATTTAGTGTCAGAGAAATATTATGCTGATTTTTTCCTTTTTCTATTTAGAATAAATGCACCAAAGTTAAACTTGGGCAACACTGCTTCTACACAACCTACAGTGATTACAGGGCCTTTGGGCTGGGCACCAGCACCCTTTCTAATGTTGTAACAAGCAGTGCCCCATCACACTTGGTGACAGCATCCACTCCTTTTGCTTTTGACTCTGCTACCACCTCTGTTACTCAGGCTTCTGATTCATCAGTGAAAGCACACCTCAGACTGGGAGCACCAGTTTCAATATTGTCTCCATGGGGAATGCAGCTCAACAAGGAGCATTTGCAGGATTGCCCCTCACTCCTGCTGATGGAATAATTGCTACACAACCAATTTCTCCTTTCAACTTTGGCAGACAGTAAGGTTTGAATTCTGCTCTCTAAAGGAGAAGTGCAGTATTCAAGAATGATTTTGAGATTCTTACTTGATTGACTCAGATCCAAATGTGGTCACTTCTCTTGTTGGAAGTTAGTGTTATTGATGAATGAGGTAGAAATTAAATACAAAGAGCCCCTTCTGGTTTGTAGTTTTAGCTTTAGAACCAATCAATGTGTATTTTGGAAAAAGCTACAAACTTCTGAGAACCAGTAGTTTGGACAAATTGGCATATAGTAATAATAGAGTTACACTGAAATGTTTTGTTCAGTTGTTTAATGCTTGTGTTTAACAAGTATTTCATTTGTGATCTATTAATACTTTTTTTCCTTTTTAAAAATAAAACTTCTGAAATGAAATTTATCAGGAGGTACAATAGAGCAGGAAAGAATATCTTTAGAGTAGTGTTTTAAAATTTTAGAGAATATTATAATAATGTAATAAAAAAATCAGTTATACGGCATGGTTGGGGAATGGTATATTCCTGCTAAAATATCTTGGCTAGTAGAGACATCGTATGTGGGTTACCAGTTTCCAAATTATTAGGATTCAGTAAAATAAAACCAAAACGCAGTGGATAAAGAGTTCTGGCTTATAAACAATATGAACTTGGTTTTATTATAGATGCCTGGGATATTTTAGAACTTGGGGAATACACTGAGTGAGATGTCAATACATTTTACTTTGTAATATATTTTATTATATTAGATATTCATGGTTACCATTTCAGAGGTTTTAAAAATAGCCAAAAAGGAAAAAATATTTTCAAAATTATAGATAATGTAGAAATAACTTCTTTATAATTTGTAGTAGAGATAATACCAATTTTGATTGGTTGGTATGGCATTGTAGGACATAGGAGATGAAATGGAGCATTGAAGTAATTATGATGCTAGAATATTTGGTCTCTACTTTATGAGGGCACCATTGGCCATCATTTTAATTGTGTATGAATCAATTTTTTTGATGTTACAAATAATGCATATCTTTTATTAAAAAAACCACAAGTAAATAAATGTTTGAGTCTTGGCTCTGTCATTTACTAGTTCTATGACCTTGAGCAAGTTACTTTAACCCCTCAGTGCTTAAGTTAATATAGGTAAAATGTTTAGAACCTTGCCTGGCATGTAATAGGCACTCAATGCATGTTAGCTATTACTATTATTTTTATGAAAATGTACATTTCCCTGCGATGTTGAATATGTTAGATGTTAACCTCTATGTTTGTTTTTTAAGATTTGGTGGCTTAACAGTGAAAATAGTATCATCATCATCTTTATTCACATTTCCTTGATTAGCAGTAAGGCTGAATTCTTTTCAAATTATTTATTGATTAGTTATATTTGTGTGTGTGTGTGTGTGTGTGTGAGAGAGAGAGAGAGAGAGAGAGAGAGAGAGAGAGAGAGAAATATGGGAGTGGGGACGGAGAGAGGAGAGAGAAAATGAATTAATTCCCTATTTGTGTCCTTTGCTTAGTTTTATAATATGGTGCTTATCTTTTTCTCATTGATATGCAATTGCAATATCTTAACCCTTTGATATTTGTATAAGAATTATTTTTCTTTGAGTTTTATAGGTATCTAAAAGATTTTGATTTTTTAAATTAAGCTTTTTATTTTGACACAATTGTAGATTCTCAGGCAGTTGTAAGAAATAATACAGAGAGATCCTACATACCCTTTACCCAGTTTCTCCCAGTGTTAGTGCAATAACTATAGTACAATATTGCCATCAGAATATTGATATTGACATAGTCAAGATATAGAATAGTTCTATCACTACAAGGATCCCATCCTCATTTTGCCCTTTTATAGCAACACCCACCTTTCTCCTGCCCCCACCCCTATTTAATCTGTCAACCATTAATTTGTTCTCAATTACTATAATTTTGGCATTTCAAAAATGTTATATACACTTAGCCATACAGTATGTAATCTTTTGGGAATGGCTTTTTTTCACTCAGGATAATTCTCTGGAGATTCATCCAAATTGTTACATCTACCAGTTGTTTCTTTTTATTGCTGCATACTATTCCATTGTATGGATGTACTGGTTTGTTTAACTCTTTGCCCATGGATGGATATTTGTATTGTTTCCACTTTTTGGCTATTATGATGAAAAATTATAATTTTTCATAGAGATGGGGTCTTGCTATGTTGCCCAGGGTGATCTCAAACTCCTGGCCTCACGTGATCCTCCCACCTTGGCCTCCCAAAGCACTGGGATCACGGGCATGAACCACTGCACCTGGCCACAGTTTTAATTTTTATGTTGTCAAATCTTTCATTCAAGGTTTTTCTCTCTAAGCTTACTTATATAGGCCTTTCCACTTCAATATTCTTAATTCTTTTTGGTTTCTTATGGTTTATATTTTTAAGAATCTTATTTTTTTTCTAAATGATTAGTAAGTTGAAGCATTATATTTTGTTAAATAGACATCCTTTCCCTATTGGTTGGAGTTGCTGCCTTCCTGATACACCAAATTAGTATATATATAGTTGACTCTGCTTCTGGATTTTCTATTCTGCTCTATTGATCTGTCCTTTCTTGTTCTAGTATCACCATTTTAGTTATTGTAGCATTCCCCACCATCTTATAATGTAAGGCCGCCTTCCCCCATTCTGTTAAAAATAATGTGGGCTATTTTCTAAGATAGTTAGCATTTTCTTATGTTCTTAAACATAAAGGAATTAAGCCTGATTTTGGTATACTTATAGCACTAGATGGAGGAAATTGTGATACTGAACACTTCCTCAAGTCCAATGATTCTCAGCTGGAGACAGTTTTATTCCCCGTCCCCCAGGGGGGATATTTGGCCATATATGGAGATATATTTTGTTATCAAGACTGAGAAGGTGCTACTGGCATCTATTGGGTAGAGTTCAGGGATGCTGCTGAACATCTTACATTACACAGTGCAGTCCCCCACAACAAAGAACTATCTGGCCCCAAATGTCAGTAGTGTCATGTCGAGAAACCCTGATCTTGTTCTGCGTAGGAAACAAACTTTGCCTCTTAAATGCTTTTCTATTTAAGAACGAGACTCATTTAACTTAAAAGCAAATCATGTTAAGTGGTATTTGCATCCTTAGTTATCTCTGGATATGTGATTTAAGGTCAGGCCCCTGAAATTATGCCAGTATCTGTGACAGATGATCACGATTTTAAAATATGGGCATAAATCAAGTGTAAATTTAATTAGAGGTAGTGAAGAGGTTTCAGTAGTGTGGCCAGTTACAAAATAAATAATACAAAATCAATAGCTCTCCCATGTTTAAGCAATAGTAGTTAGGAAATATAATGGAGAAAGATCCCATTAATAATTTCAACCAAAAAGTATGAAATGCCTAGGAATAAACTTTTAAAAATGCACATGACCTAGATGAAGAAAACCACAAATTTTACTGAGGAATATAAAAGATGATGTGAGTAAATGAAAAGACTCACTGAATGCACAGACTCGATAATATAAAGATGTCATTTATCTCCAAATTAATCTGTACATTTAATGCAATTCTTGTAAAACCATAATGGGTATCTTCGAGGAAGGTAAAGGAGCGAGGGACTTGACAAGATTCTAAAGTTCAAATTGGGGAAGAAATGCATGAGACTAGCCATCTCCATTGTTTTTAAGGAAGTAATGATGAACTACTTGCAGGAAAATATGTGGAAATGTGTTATAAGTTTATTCTCTTCCTGCAAGTTTAAAATATTATGTAATATAAAAATAAGTGAATTCTAGTGCTACAATAATTGAGATTCTGGTATGGAATAGGGATAGAAAGAAAAATCAGTGAAATATTTTAAAGTACAGTACAAAAACAAACCTGTGTTTATGAAGGTGACACTTCAAATCCGTGGGATAGAGGATGGAGTAGTGAATAAATAAATTGCAAAAGCTGGCTAACCAGGTATTAGGGTTAAGGCGATTGATTTTTGCCTAAAAACATTAACCAAAAGAAACCCCAAGTGAACTAAAGGTAGAAAATGAAACCACAAATTTTTAAAGCATAGGTGAATGTAAGAATATGTAAATAATATTTCTCACATTGGGGAGAAGACCATTTATTTATATATAATTTTTAAATAATGTAGTCAAATAGTTCACAGATAAAACTATAAATAGTATAAATAGGTATATTGTCTCCCATCTGCACTGTATTACCCCTGCCCCTTTCCCACACTCGGCTAACCACTGTAATTGTATGTATCCTTCCAGAGCTTCTTCATGGATTTGTTAGCAAATAAAAATATGTATTCTTACCCTCCTCTACCTTTTTTGACATCAGTGATACACTCTACACACTATTCTGTACCTTGCTTTTTAAACTTATAAACTTTATACACTTATTTTAAACATTTAGAGTTTTTCACATCAATCAGTATATAGAGAGCTTCCTTAGTATGTTTTATAGCATCATAGTTCCGTGGTCCGGATGTGCTATAATTTATATATCCAGTCCCTTACTGATAGGCATTTGGGTTGTTTACTCCTTTGCTAACACAAACAGTGATGCCATGGATATCATTTTGCATGTCATTTTACAGATATACAAATACATTTTGGTGAATAAATTTCCAGAAAAAGTATTGCTGGTTCAAAAATAGATGCATTTATGATTTTTAAAATATTGACCACTTGTTTTCCATAGTAGTTGTACCAATTCATATGCCCATTAGGAATCTGTGAGGCTGCCTGTTTCTTTATAGTGTTCTTAACAGAGTGAGTTACTAGTTTTGACTTCTTGCCATCTGTTATGTGAAATTATTCTCAATGTAGTTATAATTTTCAATTTTCTCTTAAAAATGAGGTTGAACGCCTTTTGATATGTTTAAGGGAGAATGTCTTTTAAAACATGATGTGGAGACATAGACCATATTGGAAAAAATGATGGAAAGATTTAACTACATAAAAACTAAAAACAAAATGAAAAATGAATGACAAATGGGGGTAGGAGAATTTTTGCAACATATGACAAAATAAACAGCCTTGATATACATATTTGTCAAAAATCAGTAATAATAGTATTCTTTGATAAGAAAATGGCAGATGACATGAATAGGCAATTTCAAGTGAAGAAAGTAAAGTAGCCATTAAACGCATATTATTATAAAAATTCAGCTTCATCACTTGGTAATGAATAGTAAATTTAAATTCCTTTGCTATAAAATTGGTTATTTCTTTAAAAGTATACATGTGATAACTTCTCCTAAATGAAACGTAGGGCTATTCCACTCTACACATTTTAAGTATAATAGTTTTAGGTATGTGGTAAAGTTCATGATTCCTTCTCAGTATCTCCCCTCTGCCCCTCTCACCCCGCCCCCCGTGGGCCTAGATGTTTTGGATAGCAGAATCTTATGTCATATGTTGCCATGAATTGCTCAACAGTTGGATGCAGGCAGTAATAGATGCAAGTGCAGTTACTTATTAAGTACTTTTACCTTTTAAAGGGGAAATAGAATATTTGTAATTATGTGTTAGAATCTAGAAGAAGTTGGTTCAGCTCAGCAGAAACATTTATTGAACACTTACTACCATGTGCCATGTGTATAGTGATCTATAGTGAGGGTGAAAAGATATGAACTTTGTCTTCAAGTAACTCATTAATCTTATTTTTGTCTTTATGCACTTAATTTCTCCAACTTTATAGTTTTCTTTTTAAATTTTAAAGCAAGAGGCAGGTAATCTGTTTTCTGAAAATTTATTCCAGACTTCTATTTATTATTTTTAATCACAGTTTTATTATGATATAATTCACATACCATACAGTTTACCCATTTAAAGTACATATTTCAGTGGTTCACAGAGTTACGCAACCATTGCTATAGTCAATATTAGAACATTTTCATCATCCCCCAAAGAAACCCATTTGAAGTCACCACCCATTCCTCCCTTCTCCCAGTCCCTGGCAACCACTAATCTACTTTCTGTTTCTATAGATTTTTCTATTATGGACATTTCATATAAATGGAATCATGCATTATTTGATCTTTTGTGACTATCTTCTTTCACTTAGCATAATGCTCTCAAGGCTCATCCATGTTGTAGCATGTATTAGTACATTTTCTTTCATGGCAAATACAATTCCATTTTATGAATATACCACATTTTATTTATCCATTCATCAGTTAATGGACATTTGGGTTGTTTCGTCTGCTATGAATAATGCTGCTATGAATATTCATGTACACATTTTTGTGTGGATATGTTTCATTTCTTTTTGGCATATATATACTTAATAGTGGAATTGCTGGGTCATATAGTAACTCTATGTTTTACCCTTAGAGGAAATGCCAGTTTTCCAAAGAAGCTGCACCATTTTACATTCGTACCAGCAGAGTATGAGATTTCCACTTTCTCCATAGCATTGTCAACACTTGATATTATCTCTGTTTTTGATAGCATTGTCAACACTTGATATTATCTCTGTTTTTGATTATAGCCATATTAATTGGTATGAAGTGGTATTTCACTGTGGCTTTGATTTGCAGTTCCCTAATGACAGATGACATTGAGCATGTTTTCATGTGCTTTTTGACCATTTGTATCAGCAACTTTGCATCTTTCTGATCATTATTTTGTAGTCACATCTACCTCTGACCACAGCCTGGAAAGGTTCTCTATTTTAAAGGATTCATGCCATTAGATTTTCTCACCTGGATAATTCAGGATAATCTCAAGGTACTTAACCTTAATCTCATCTGTAAAATCCCTTTTGTCAAGTAAGGTAGTATGTTCAAAGGTTCTGGGTATTAGACCATCTTTGGGGATGATTTTTTCCATCACACCATCTTAACAATATTAAGTATTTTTATCCATAAACATGAGTTCTTTCCATTTATTTAGGATGTCTTCCTTTCAGCGATGTTTTGTATTTTTTGTGTGCAGTTCTTGAAAGTCTTTTGTTAAATTTGCTCTTAAGTATTTTATTCTTTTTGAGCAATCATAAATGGAATTACATTCTTAATTTCATTTTTGGGTTGTTTGTTATTATAATATAGAAATGTAATTTACTTTTATATATTGATCTTGTATCATGCAACCTTGCTGACCTTGTTTATTGTTCTAATAGATTTTTTATTGATTTCTTAGAATTTTCAGTATTCATGATCTTGTCATCTATGAATAAAGATAGTTTTACTTTTTTCTTTTCAATCTGGATGCCTTTTATTTCTTATTATTGCCTAATTGTCCTGGGTGGAATTTCCAATGTATTGTTGAAATGGTAAGAGCAGACATCCTTGTTTTTTTCCTGATGGTAGTAGGAAAGTATTTAGTCTTTCATCATTAAGTATGATGCTGTTATACTATGGATTTTTCATTAACACCCTTTATCATGTTAAAGAAGTTCCCTTTTCTTCCTAGTTTGTTGAATATTTTAATCATAAAAGTGTGTTGGATTTTGTCAAATGCTTTTTCTGTTTCTATTGAGATGATAATGAGTTTTTTTAATAACAGCATAATTGAGGTATAATTCACATATCTTAAAATTCACCCTTTTAAAGTGTACAATTCGGTGGTTTTTAATATAGTCATAGAGTGAGCAACCATCACTGCTATGTAATTTGAAAACATTTTCATCACCCCAAAAAGAAACCCTGTACCCATTAGCAGTCACTATTACCCCTTCCTCCCAGCCCCTGGGAACCACTAATATACTTTCTGTCTATGGATTTGTCTATTCTGACATTTCAAATAAATGGAATCATACAATATGTAGCCTTTTGTGTCTTGCTTCCTTCATTTTATATAATGTTTTCAAGATTCATCCATGTTGTAGTACATATTAGTACTTAATTCTCCCATTCTCAAGACAGCTCTTTTCAGCTTTTTCCACCCTGGTTATGTCTGGTAAACTAGCTGACTTACAGCCTAAATTGTTACTCTCACGAAGTTACCTGCTTCCTCTTAATTGCTTATTACCAAAATCTCCAATTTTTTGGAGCAAGTTTTTTGGCTTGAAGGTCCTCACACTGTTTAAAACAAAGTCGTTTCTTTTGGGGATAGCTTGGGAACTCTGCTGTTATGAACAGCCTTTATCCTTGAGCAAAGTCTTTGAGCCAGGGCTTTGAGTACTGGGCATTGAGTGGCATTAGCCGCTGGTCTTCTTTCCTACCTCTTCAGGCGTGTACCTTTGCCCTACAAGTGAGCTGCGTGAGGCAACCAGAGTGAGGGTGATTGGGGCCCCAGTGTTCTCAGCCTGATGTGCCTGGGGTAGAGCCTCCAGCCTATGAGTGGGGGCTAGCTGAAGGAAGGGAGCCCCTGGACTCTTGGCTATACTCACCAGGAATTTCACCCCTTCAACTTTGTGTTGAAGGTGATGAGAAATGCTGGCTACCTGTCCCTCACATTGAGATACTGTATCCCTTTGATTGGGAGCTCGGGGCAGAGGGAGTCCAGTCTTCCTGGCCACTCCTGCCTGGAGTGTGACTTCCATTAAGGTGAGCAAGGGGATGAGGGAAGGAGGGACTGCCTTAGCCTCTCACTGATAGATTACTAAGTTTTAGCAGATTTTCTTGAATAAATATTTCTTCATTTGCTGTATTTATTTTTAGAACAATTTCTAACCATTTCAATTTTTTAAAAAATACTTTTTGCTTTAAGGTATCTCCATATTGCTTTCCACAGAGGTTGCACTAGTTTGCAGTCCCACCAGCAGTGTATGAGTGTTCCTACCTCTCCGCATCCACGCCAACATTTATTGTTTTGGGTCTTTTTGATAGAGGCCAGTCTCACTGGAGATAGGTGATACCTCATTGTGGTTTTGATTTGCATTTCCCTGATGATTAGAGATGTTGAGCATTTTTTCATATGTTTTTTGGCCATTATTCTGTCTTCTTT